AAATTAAATCGTAAATTCGCAAAAACAAACACAAAGTTACACCGACAGGGTAAATAGTCGAAATTTTTCACGCCAATCATTTTTGACAATTTACCGCTGAAACCGATGGAATGTTTCAATCAAGTTGATTTAGTACTTTATTATGTTTATATTTTAAAATAACTGGTGTCTGTGTGTTGGTGTCAGCGATGTTAATTTTTGTTTGAAAATTATTTGCCTACGATTTACTGAGTTTACATGGAGAGAACGAATTTAATTGGTAATAACAGGCATGAAACTGCTGCAGAAATCCTTCCCATGAATAAATCGGTCGTTTCTGTATGTCTGAATTGGACTTTACAGAAAGTGTGAGAAAAGTTTCCAAATTCGGCACGACAATTAATTCATAAACATAATCCACTGGTGTGAATTACGGTAATAAGTAGTTCCCATCACCGTGTTTTGAAATGTTTATTTCGTCACTATCAGTGGATCTTATCTGTTAAGTTGTCACTAAATATATGTTTGTTTTACGTTGTAAGTGGTGATAAAACTATCGATTATTAGATATTACAGTGATTAGCATTATAATTATGGCGCTAATCGAAACATCAATGGGATATTTGGAGCCGAAATAAATTATAAAATAAGTAACACCTTGACATTCACAGTCAGTAGGAAGGGTAGCTTAATTTAATTACCTTTAATGAGTTTATTGACAGACTTTATTACTGTGAGTCTTAGTAAAGGCTGTTTGCTTTCGTAAACTTCGTTTATATGTGGGTGGAACATTGATAGACAGCAAACAGTTTCTAGTCTTTATTTTAAAATAAAAATGAGTTTACATGTTACTTAAAAATCATTACTGGAAAACTGTGCTAACGCTCCATCATTAACAATAAATCCACTTTTTCTCACAATGTTGCCGCATTAACACATATATTATTTTTATTGTTGTTGCTGTCGTTTCATGATAATTATGTTCATTGTTTTTACTTTTATAATTATGGAGACAGAACAGTTGTTTTACTGTTAAGGCGAAGAAGATCTCACAAATTTAAAGAACCAGATTAACCTAAAATGTTATTGTTTCTTTTATTGTTGAATAAATGTAGAAAAGCTATTGTATTCTATTTCATAAAAATAGTATTACTTTTAATAATGCAACAAAGAAACTTTTGTTTAAATGTTATAAATTGTAACATCAAAAGTGATATCTGAAAGTTACTTCGTCTTTAATTGTGTTTTTTATTGCTCTCTTAGTTTGATATAAATTTTAAATAGTATATATAACGGGAATATTCCGGATGTGATATCTTAGTAGTGACTTTTACATATGTAATACTCACTGAGGTCAAATTTATGCGTCTTGTGGGTGTGACAAATATGTCGTGTCATATTTAAGGTCATAGCAATCAATGGTAAAACGATGACTTGTAGCGAGTATGTAAAAAATTCTTTCCTTCTTTATGTTACTTCGTCGTCAGTACGTTTCATAATCTTGAATGAAGAAAAATCCGTTTTGTAATCAGTGAAATCGTTTGACAAATTTCTTTGGTTATTATTACAAAAACACCACTAAATAAATCTCGTTTCATCCCCCTTTTTCCAAAGTCTTTAGGCTAGCTCATATCTCAGCGTAGTAACAGCCTTAAGAAATCTAGTAACAAAAACCGTGAAGCCATGTTGGGATTATTACGTGACTACATTTAATAGAGAATTTCTTCTACATTCTCCCAAGTTTTTCCTCCACACGGAAAAATCTGAATAAAACTCGGTGATACCATATGATGGTCTGGCAACGGTTCAAATTTAACTTGACGAAAATGATGTTGGCAACTCCGGCGCGTTCCGTTTTCACACAACATTGTTCGTGTTAATCAGTTTGACATTTACGGTGGAATAACTGTCAAATAAAGTGTCACGTAGCGGCAATGCCAGCATCATTGTTTCAAAAATAAATTTCATGGCTTACTAGATTTGTTTTTTTTTTAATTATATGGTACTTGGATGTGTTGTTAACCAGAAACAAATCAAGACTAAGACAGATTTGTTGTTGGAAGTGTGCCATTATTTGCCTGAAACGAGAAAAAATAAAGAACGGAGGGAAAAGAGAAACAAGCGAGAAAATGAAAAAAAAAGCAAGAAATGTTCTTTAATAAATAATGTGCTTACCTGCTGTCTGTAGATTCTAATCACGAGCGGTTTACTCGTGTTATCAGGACGTATATCTTTGGCACCACAGTGGAATGCGTTGAAGAAATTGGCGGCAGGATGTGATAATGAAAATGAGGCCACACTTCGTGTTTTATTGTTAGATAAAAATATGGTAATTAACATTTTTGTGTTTATTCGCTCCAAAAACTTAATGACGTCATTTGAAAATCTAAACGGTAAAAATTGATATCTTTTTGCCGCTGTTTTGGATTAATTTTCTTGTGAAATTTTCTGACAATTTTTTAGTCAGCCTTTTTATGACTATTTTGAAATTTTTGGAACCCTTTTTTGTCGGCCTAGCGTTTTTTGTCGCATTTTCTTGTTGTTTTTGTCGCCTTTTTGTGTGCTTTTTTGTAGCTTTTATCGCCTTTTTCATTGTCTATTTTATCCCTCATTTTCGGCTTTTTTGTCGGGTTTGTTTTTGGTGGTTTTATTTTGTTGATTTCTTTTTGTCGCCTTTTTCTTGGTGAATTTTTGTTAAATTTTTATAGCCTTTTTTATGTTGCAATTTTTTATCTCCCTTTTTTGTCACGATTTTTTCCCTTTTTGGATTGCCACCTAATTTTGTCATAGTCCATTTTATGCCTCCTTTTGACGCTTTTTTTTGTCACCTATCGTTTTTGAACCATTTTTATCGCTTTTTTTTACCGACTTTCCGTTTGGTAGCTATTTTTTTGTTGCCTCTTTTATGGTGCTTCCTTTTTGCTATTTTTTTCTTCTTTCTGTTCATGGCCTTTTATGTCCTTCTTTAACGGCTTTTTTGTCACCGCATTTTTTGTTGTATATAGCAAATGGGTTTTAAATTGTATAAAGTCACATAGTTCTACATGTGTAGTTTACGAATCCGTGTTGAATTTTTAACCGAGACATCTAGATTTTTGGAAAAATATTCAAAATTGTATTTTGCAATTTAACTTCTAAACTGCTCAACCGAATGCTCTGAAATGGTAAATTTGTAATTAAAATATGTGCATCTGTTTATCCCTCCCACAAACTTAATGACGTCATCTTAAAATTTTGCTTTGTCGCCTTTTTTCACCTATTGTTTTTGGCCCTTTTTTATTGCGCATTATTCGACTTTTTTGTCGCCTTTATTTTTGGTAGGTTTATTTTGTTGATTTCCCTTTGTTATCTTTTTTTTGATGAACTGTTTAGTCATTTATTTTTTGTGCAGCATTTTTTTATTGCTTTTTTTTTTGTTTTTTCTCTTTTTTTACCACCTTTTTGTTGCCTATTTTTTCATCGTCTCTTTTTAATGCATTTTTTGACCCTTTTTTTTCACTTATTTTTTTTGTGGTTTTTTATCGCCCTTTTTTGTCCGTTATGTTTTTGGTTGCCTTTTCTTTGCCCTTTTGTCACCTTTTTTGTCGCCTTTTTGTCAGCGCTTTGTCACCTTTTCTGCTTCCTTTTTTATCCCTTTTTTTGCCTCCTTTTTTGTGTAGCTTTTGTCGGTTTTTATCGTGGTTTTTATCGCATTTTATGCGGGTTTTTTTCCTTTTTTGCCCCCTTTTTGTACATCATCTTTTTATCTTTAACTTTTTGTTGATTTTATTCTTGGTAGTTTTTATTTCGTCGATTTATTTTGGACGTTTTTTTATTGGCTTATTTCTTCAGTGGGTTTTTTGTCGTTTGTTTTCTGTTGTTTTTCTATTGTCTTTTTTGCCACCTTTTCTTTATCTTTTTTATCGCCTTTTTTGTGTTGCTTTAGTTGCCTTTTATCGCGATGTTTTATAGCCCTTTTGTAGTATTTTTTGTCCTCCTTTCTTGTGGACTTTTGGTTGCTTTTTTGTGTTCTCTTTCTTTATTGCTTTTTTTGTGAACTTTTTAGTCACCCTTTTCATCATCCCCGTCTTGTCACTTTATATATCGCACTTGTTGTCGCCCCTTTTTTCACATTTTCTCCCCCTTTTTCATCGCTTTTTGTCGGTTTTTTGCCGCCTTTTTGTTCATGTTTTCTTGTCACTACTTTTTGTCCCATTTATTATTTCCTTTTTTTGTCATCTATTATGAAAAACTTAAAACGTAGGGGTTATTATAAAAAAATTACCTGTCATAAAAAATTTCCTATCATAAAAAAAATTATAAGCTCCGCAAAAACAAGTTTTATAATGAGTATTTATGTCAAAATCATGAGTTGTTTTAATTTATTATAGGATTTGTTTCCTCCTTTCCAACGATAAAAAAAATTGGCCCATTGATTAAAAAAATTTAAAGGTAGTCATAGACTATATGATTGAAGCAAATTTTTGTTGGCAATTCTGAATTATTGTCAGTTCACAGTTGTCAATTTTGATGAATGCACCATTAAACGTGTTGAGAAGATGCAGCCGACGTGGTGTCATAAATGTCAATTTGATAATCGAGTATGCCATCATAAAATTTTAAATATGTTGCCAACCTGACAAAAAAATTACAAACATTAACTCCGTGCTTCAATGACCTACTTGTGCGTTTTGTATAAAATTGAATTCAAACTTTATGGACACTTCCATCTGTAAGGATACTTTTCTCATGTATTCAGAAACACGTAAATAAAAAATTACCAAAGAAAGCATTATGTAATGGCATAATAAAATGCATTCATATTAATTATTCATCATTGACCTCACTAAATTTCCTTAAGAACCTGTGATTACGCTATCAAAAAATTAAAATGTTCGGCTTGAGAGCCTCGCTTGCTCCACGCACACCCATTTTCCCATAATCATTCAATACCAGTGCCACTAGCAGCCTTGACGACCTGGGAACGACAAAAATAATTAATTATCCATTAGCTCTCGACTAACTCGGCTGAACGTTTCCAGCACGTGTGGTGAAAGAGCACCCAAAGGACGCCGTCGTCGGCAGCGGTGACTCGGACCTGCTGCAGCTGGTGCGTCGCCTCTCCTCGAGCGATCATGTGAAGATGGGGGCCAACGTCAGCCGTCACTCGTCCAAGGGCTTATCCGGACGGCGGTCCCAATCCAGCGGCAGCATCTGCAACGGAAAGGGGCGGCACGGCGACGGCAAGATGTGCGGCAGTCTGCCGAGCTACTTGGACGACCGCAACTCCACCGGCTGCAATAACAACCATCACGACTGCGAGAAGCCGCCGCTTGATGAGGTTCGTCTTTTATACATTATTCACCGACAAACTAGACGTAATCTGTTCGGTACTTTGTGGCTCACTTCTAGCTCCTGCGGTCACACGACTAAAATTTAACGCGGCCCGACTTTGGATATGTTCGCGAATTAAATTTGCGCCGGCAAGTTCCGGGGCGGGGTTCTTAAATTCGGCTGAAATTTAAGCAAGTGGAAATTTTCCGAGATAGATATTTCAGCCGCAAAAAGTTGCGTATTTGAGGAAATTTAAGATTAGCGAGGAGCCGGTGGAAAGAAAAGTTGACGGTTGTTTTGTAAATTATAAATGACTGGAAGCATGTGATTAGTTATTTATTTCTAACTAGTGAATGTGGAAAATATGGGCTGACTACTAATTAAATTCCGTTTTGTGGCTCATACAAGTTTACTAGTTTACGTATACGTCTTTGATCACGTGACATTTAATGCACACCTAATTCTCATTTTACGAGGGGCATTCACGAAACAACTTGCAATTATAAAACCATCAAGATGGCTTTGCTTGTTTTATAGACAAAAAAACGTAATGAAAAACGCATGTGTTTTATTGATCCATACTGTTGTGTATAATTGACTCTTTCGCGTTTTCAGTTGTCATAGTGTATAAATATAATTTAATAAATTTATAGGTTTATTGTAGACATACTTCATAATGTTTACAAACAATCAAGGCTAGCTTGAAGATTTTTTCGTTTGGGGCTGTATGGAAAGGTATGGCACTATCCCAATATGGTGCTTTAGTAGTTCTATAATACTGTGAATTTATGCCCGCAAGAATTGTCTTTAGATTTTTTTTTAATATCCAAGTACTAACCTCGCTCCCCCGTCCTCTTTTTTCTTAAAAGGTATATCATTCACGAAAATCAGTTTTATCTTACCAAGTAAGTACTAACCCCACCCACCCGCCCTTAATTTTCTTAGAGGGTATATCATTTCCCAAAATCTCTTATCTTGGCAAGTACTAGCCCAGCCCACCCGTCCTGTTTTTTGTTAGAGGGTATTTCATTTGCCAAAATCAGTTTTATTTTACCAAGTACTAGCCCCGCCCACCCGCCCTCGATTTTTTTAGAAGGTATGTCATTTGCCAAAATAAAGTCTTATCTTAGCAAATACTAGCTCCCACCATTCACCCTCTATTTTCTTAAAGGGTATAGCATTTGCCAAAATCAATCTAATCTTACCAAGTACTAGAGACATACATTTTGTGTAGTTGGCGAGGAAAATGAAAATAAGCCAAAAGGGTATTTAATTTTCTTCACTAGTATGGAAAGTACGTATAGGAAATTGCTTATTAAATTTACTCGTTCATCTCCTCCAAAAAGCTCATGACGTCATCTGAAAAATTTTCTTATAAATCTCATTCAAATGCCCGAAATAGTCTACACTTGTGGTTTATAAATGCATTCATATTTTAAATTGCTTATACAGGATGTCTTAAAAAGTTACCAAATTGATTTTATTGATTAAATGAAAATCGGCTCACTTCTTTTTCTGAGAGTTTTGGGAATATAGAACTTTTCATGAAGTCGTGCTAGCTTTTTTTTTTCACCTATCTTTAGTCTACATTTATCAATTTCGCAGAATCCAGTTTTGTAATTTATCTAAGAAACTAGATTTGTTTAATTCTACTTCGGGTGGACCAAAATTATGAAAAAAATTGTGCTTGCGTACGAATGATACTTGAGTCTGGCAAAATAATGTAAAACTGATATGGTGGCTGGTTTTCAAAATATGAGAGTCCAAAATAAAGTTTTCAAAATATCTCAAAATTTGTCTTATTTCGTTTTGGCGATTCTGAAAAAATGACAGGATTTTTCGAAAAAATAAGCTGTAAAAAAAGTTGTAGAAGTCGAAATTTACAAACGAAATTTTTTGGGTAGCTGCTTGTGGGAAAGTCAAAAATTGTAACTGCACTGGAATTAAAAAATTGAACTTTTTAGCAAAAGCACAAGAATCCACAAAAATTCTGAGAGATAGATTTCGATGAAATAAAACGAGCGCGTCGATGGTTCCAGAGCAAAATTGAAAAAAAAATCGTAAATCCTGAAAGCAATCCTAGCAGTTTTTTTAAGGAGTTGTCCGGTGGTTTTGGCAATTCTGAAAAACTGTAGGATTTTTTGAAGAAATGAAGCCGTAAAAAACTTACAGAAGTGAAAATTAAGAATTTTTTTGGAAATTTTCAACGGTGCTTGTGGAAAATTCAAAATTTTCAATTAAAACATTTATACTTTTTCGAAAATACTCAGAAAAATTAAGAAACGTCGTGGAGATAGATTTCGATGAGCTAAATCGAAAAATATATCGTGTTGATATTTCCTTACCAAGATGGAAGGAAAAATTGAAAATCATGTTAAAGGCGAGATTTAAGAGTGATTCCGGAAAAACTGGATGGACCAAAATTGTGCTTGCGTAGGAATGATATTTTATCCGGTAAAAAACTTTAAGGTCGATGGAGCGACTAGTTTTCAAAATATTTGGATACAAAATCAAATTTTCAAAATACCTCGAAATTTGCCATATTTCGTTTTGACGATTCTGAAAAAACGGCGGGTTTTTTTTATAGAAATAAGCCGGAAAAACTTGTATAATTCGTAATTAATAAACGAAATTTTTTAGACAATTTTCGACGGTGCTTGTGGAAAAGTCAAAAATTTGAAACATCCCTGGCATTAAAAAATGAACCATTTTGGAAAAGCACAGGACTAGAAAAATTGTGAGAAACTTCGATGATCTAAATCGAAAAATATATCGTGTTGATAGTTCCGGACCAAGATTGAAAGAAAAAATCGAAAATTCTGGACTAATGGTTGCGTTCATGTAAAGCCGATACGGCAACTAATTTTCGAAATATTCGAGTCCAAAATCAAAATGTCAAAATATCCCAAAATTTTCCGTATTTGATTTTCTCGGTTCTGAAAAAATAGCACGACTTTTAGAACTCTTGCGGAAGTGAATTTTCAAATAAAAAAAATTGAACTTTTTTGAAAAACCGCAGAAAAATCCACAAAAATTCTAGAAGATAGATTTCGATGAGTTAAATCGAAAAATATATCGGGTTGATGATGCATGATTAAGATTGAGGGAAAATCCTGGACCAATGATTAAAGGAGTGTACAGGAAGCATACATTCATCTGGAAAAATAATCCAAAGTCGATACAATTGGGTTTTCGAAATATTCGCATTCAAAGACAGATTTTTAAAGTATCTCAAATTTTGCCACATTTAATTTTGAAAATTTCGGAATTTTATCACCCTTTATGTTTAAGTTTGTCATTTGCAAGGAATTGGAAAATATAGGTGTTAGGTTCAGTAATTTGCCTAAGAATCTGGAATTGTTTAATTCTACTTTGTGAAGTTCTGCCTAAATAGATTTAGATCAATTTTTACATTTTATATCGAAATAGAGAAAATGAAGCAAGTGTCAACAATACATATTTTGAAACATCAATTCCGCGACAAAATTGTAGAAAACTTTAAGTTAAGTTTATTAGAATTTCAGCCATAGGTGTGTGTAATTTTTCACTTTAAATGCAAGTTTACCACTTTTTACTTCCCGAATGTACGCTGTAATAGTTTTTTTTCCGGCGAATCGCCACTGTTATGTTTTGTCGAGGTTTCGTGGCCTCTAGAGTAGGAAATGATAGGTCTGCCGTTTCCGTCTGGCTGTCGTCTAGCTGTCTGTTTGTCGTCTGTCTCGATTTTCATTAAACAGACAATCTTCGAAACTTCTAGACTGATTATTATCAAATTTTAGGAATAACGTATAGATGGTAAAACGCTAATCAAAATTTATCTGATCATCCCCATCAACAATTAGAGGATGTTGGCTCAAAATTTTGCGTGGTAAATGCTATTTATATTTTGTAAAATAGCATATTTCGATACTTGTCGTTTATGAATCCCCCTTTATTTTTCTATTCTAGCCATCCAGATTTTTGCAAAAAAAATCAAAATTATATATGTAAGTATAACAGTTCAGCATGCGCCCACTATTTCAGATGATTGTAGGGTCACGCACACACACGAAGGCGTGGGTTTGATCGCCTCATGGACTACTTTTTTTTAACTTTTAAAAACTGGATTTGTTGGACTGCACTCCATGGACGAGGAAAGTCATGTCTAAATAACCTTACACAATTTTTACATCCACTCTCTCTGTGTCTGTCGTCTGTGTTGACATATAATCTCCAAAACTACTGGATCGATAGTCGTCAAATTTTATGTATTTTAGGAGTACCGTATACATGGTAAAACGCAAACCACAATTTGTCAGATCGTCCCCACCAACAATTTCAATCATACAAAATTATGTTAGTAAAAGCCATTTAAATTTTATAAAATAAGATATTCCTATACCAATGGTTTGTGAATCTAGCTGATGTTGTTTATTATTATTACATATTACATTTTTATTGTCACTCCGTTCTCTTCTTTATACTGATGTGGTCTAGTTTAACTTATTTTCGCCAAAAATTTTGGAATTAGTGATAGTGATGTGTGCCCTTGATAACGTCATGACAAAATTTTTTAACGAAAAACTCATTTGAAACATACGCATAACATGCTCCTTTACCTATATATAAAATTGGCAAAATTAAGTTGTATAATTTTTCGAAGAGTACTTCAGGGGCGAAGTAAATTTTGCCTAAATAACCTTACATCATTAGGTTTACCAGTTTCGTCCGATATCTCGAGGCGCATTTTAAATTTTACGTACTGAAAGGGTTTTATATAAAGCTGTAAATTGTCGTAAAGCCAAATTTTACTGTGTACTTAAAAAACTCACTTGACTATTTGTTTACTTTTAAAAAATTTTTCTAGGTAAATTTTGCCAGTTTCCGTTGTATTATATATACTATGACCTCCGAACAGCTTAAAATTTCCCTTTTCGGAGGTTACTGAGAGAATTTTAGATCGATTCTACACTATCTATGTGACCCCAATGTAAAGAGTATAATGCGGCAAAGCGCCATTTTGTTGAAATCAAATTTGAAAATTTTTGTTGAAGTACCTACATTTTTACTTTCTCCATTTCAAAATTTGGGATCACTTATATATGTAATGAGTGTACGAGAGTTGTGACTGTATGAAATTGAAAAATCGAGGTAACAAATTGTCATAAAAGTATGAGCCACTCAATTTTAATTAAAATTATATTTTTGTCGAATTTTATGAGTTCTAAAGTATATTTCGACTTGTTACTTTCTCAGTGTGACCTAAAGAAGTAGGTATAGTAATCGAGTCCATGACCACTTTTATGTTTTCTCGACGTATCATGACCCCTAGAGCACAAAAAAATTAGTCTCCCGTTTCTGTCTGTCTGCCTGCCATCTGTGTCAATTTTTACATCACACATATAATTTCCGAAACTACTGACCGACTGTTATCAAAGTTTGTATGTATATTAGGAATATCATGTAAAAATAAAACGGTAACCAAAATTTGATTAATCATCCCGATCAACAATTTGATGACGACACTTCAAAAAATTCTATTTTAAATTGATTTAAATGTTATACCATAGTTTGCTCCTATTGTTGTGGTGTACGAATCCGCTTTCAGTTTTTTCTCTATACAACCAAATGTTCACAAATAAATTAACACTATAATAACACCGTTTCTAACTAATTAATTAATAATTTTAGTCCTCTACTTTTAGTCGACAAACTCATTCAAATCAAACCAATTTCTATGTGAAATTATTCCGATATATAAACAAACATTTAAAGTTAGAACTTGTTATTATTGCTGAGAAAGCAATTTTTCCAGTTGGTTATCTTTTTTTTAAATATACTTTACATTGTCCGTACTTCGGAAAATCCAGTTTTATAATTTTTCAAAGAAACGATATTTATTGACGGGCACTTCAACACCGAGGGAAGATTTGGTCATCATGACGCATTTGCGATTTGCAGAATCGACTTATTTTGCGAAAAGGAGACGATTAGGTATATTTTCCATATTCTCGCGTTTGTTGATTTCCGGCACCCACAAGGCTCGAAAATGTCAAGAAAACCACAAAATTTTAGCTAGAGGTCTAATTTTTTTCTTTTTTTCTGTAGAACGTTCATTAGGAGACCCAAAGTAAAGTGTTTTTTTTTTTTTGCTTTACGCAATTAATGACGAGTATTTCTGTTCTCTGCCGACATCCGCAGGAAATAATATCAAATTTTAATTATCTCAATAATTTAGCTACATATACTTTAAAAGTTCGTTATAAATATGGGTCTGTGTGGCCGCTTCTCTGAGAAAATATTTAGTTATTCAAACATTTCCAACCGATTATTCGGTGTATTCAACAGTGTTAACTTATCATTCACGGCTATAATTTTTTCATGAACCTCCGGCTAAGTCAAACATCCGCCTAACCGAAATTTCACTCGCTCCACCCTCCATTCTTACCAATTCCGCAAGCACCCCTGCGCATCCGACACCTACACATTTTAAATCTACATCAAACATTTACTCGAGTTAATTACGTATAAATTCTCCCCGACCATCGGCACTTCCAATTCCCATTACCAATCCCCCCGATAGACCGACCGCAGAAGCGTCCCCATATTCATAGAGCGTCGTCGGAAGCGCGGTCGAATTTTTTTCCCCGAAGACGCATCGGACGGAAAACATTTCATTTTGTCTAATGGTTTGTTTTATGCGACGTTGCAGGTGCAGAGGATACCTCCTCTGGGGGATGGGGCGCCGCTTCACTGGAAGTTTTCAGATAACCAGACGGCGCTCTGCGACCAGGGCTACGGTTCGGAACGTTCCCCCGAGGAGGAATATCCGCCGCCCTTGCCCGACCATGACAGCCAGTGTCACCACCACCTGGAACCCCACGCTTGTTACCCTTTCATCACACCAGGTACGTGTTCCAGAAAGCTAATAAAGAACCCTCGTAAAATAACTTGAAATATTTGCGACGTGGACGCGTCCGGATCGATGCGAATTCATACAATTCGAAATGGGCGTCTTGGGTGGGATGCTTTTGGATCATCTGCGTGTCAATACTGGAAAACGTTCGGGAGAAGAGGTTAATTTATGTGAAATGGAGCGGGTTTATTGGAGGAGTACCAAGCGAAAGTGCTAATATTTAGGGCGTGCTCTCGTAATGATGATTTTAAATCACTAATCTCATCTCTCCTTGATCACTCATAAAACACAAAAATGCAAGTTTCCCGTTTAAGTCGTCGGTCATCTTCCTATCTCACGAAAGTACATATTTTTAGGATTAATCCCTGAAACTTTCGGTTATTTCAAAATTCTAAGCGTGCTTCAAGCTCTCAGCATGTAGATGTTAAAACGCTAACTAAATTTCCTCTGAAAAAATTGCAGAACTTCCCTTGTCCTCAAAGTGAATACCAACAAATCCTGCTTCTTTGAAAAATTATGACATTTGATTTTGCGATTTTCGTCGAAATCGAGAAATTGAAAAATCAAAAAATGAAAAATTTTAAAAATTGAAAAACCGAAACATCGAAAAACAGATTCGAGATGGAAAAATTGGAAAATAGAGAAACGGAAACATCAAAAAATCTTAAAACTTAAAAATTAAAAAATCGAAATCCGCAAAAAACAAAAAATCGAGAAATAGAAAAATCTAAAATTTCAACAATTGAAATCTCTAAACATCGAATGATCGGAAAATCTAAAAGTCGAAAAATTAAAAAAATCGAAAAATTCAAAAACCGAAAAGTTAAAAACCGAAACATCGAATAATCGAAACATCAAAACATCTAAAATTGAAAAACCCAGACATTGAAAAATTCCCAAAACTGAAATGTAAAAATCGAAAAATCTAAAAGTCGAAAAACTGATTCGAGAAATGGAAAAATTGGAAAATAGAGAAATGGAAACATGAAAAAATCTTAAAACTGAAAAATTGAAAAATCGAAAAACAAGAAATCGAGAAATAGAAAAATTTTAAATTAATAAAAATCCAAAAAATGAAAAATTGAAATTTCGAAACATGGAATGATTGGAAAATCGAATAGTTAAAAAATCGAAAACTAAAAATTCCAAAAATCTAAAACTTGAAAAATTTTAAAAATCGAATGTCGAGAAGTCAAAAATTTGAAAAATCAAAAATTACAATATTAAAAAATTGAAAAATGAGAATTACAAAAACGAGATACAGAAAAAGTTTAAATTCAAAAAATCTAAAAATTGAAAAATCAAGAAATTGAAAAATTCCAAAACTGAAATAACAAAAAATTGAGAAATCGAAAAATCGGAAAGTCGAGTCTTCGAAATAGCCACAGGCGAAAATTAAAATTTGAAAAATTAAAAATTCTAAATAAAAAAAATCGGGAAATTGAAGAATTGAAATTTAAAAATTCGAAAACTAGAAAAATTGAAAAATTGGAATATTAAAAAATTCAAAAATAGGGAAATGGAAACATTCCGACACTGAGATGACGAAAAATTGAATCTCGGAAAATCCAAAAAGTGAAGAATTGAAAGATTGACAAATTGGATCATAAAACCATCGAGAAATCGAAAAGTCGAGAAGCGAAAAATTAAAATTTGAAATATTGAACAATTTTAAATAAAAAAAAAATCGTTGACATCTTAATAAACCGAGAAATAGAAATATTTTAAACCCAGAAGTCGAAAAATCGAAAGCTCGACAGATCGAAACCTCAAAAAGTTCGAAAATTCGAGAAATCGAAAAATTAAAATACCTGCGAATAACTGAAAAACCGAAAAATCTAAAACTAAAAAGTCGAAAAATCGAAAGCTCGAGGAATCGAACATCAACAAATTTACAAAATTCGAAAAATTCAAAAATAGAGTAATCTAAGAACTCAAAAATCGAGAAAACGAGAAATTGAATTAAAAAAACGAAAAATTAAAAAAATCGAGAAACTGAAAAATCCCAAAATTGAAACATCGAAAAATTGAAACATCGATAAATTGAACAATTGAAAACCAAAAATTTAAAAAAATCGAAAAATTGAACAATTAAAAATCGAAAAAATGAAGAAACAAAAAATTGTAGAATTGAAACACTAAAAAATCGAAAAATCAGGAAATCGAGACATCGAAAAATTTTTTGGGAATATCAAAATATCGAAAATTGGAAATTGAGAAATTGAAAAATCGGGAAATAGACGTCGAGAAATCGAGACATCGGAAATTTAGAAACGTCAAAAATTAAAAAATAGAAGAATCGAAAAATTGAAAAATCGTAAAACTGAAATTTCGGAAAATTGAAAAATTGAAACATTAAAAAATTAAAAAATTTAAAATTGATAAATTAAAAATTAAAAAATCGAAAAATTTAAAAATCCAAAACTGAAAAATCGGAAAAGTGAAAAATCCCCAAACTGAAACATGGAAAAATTGAACAACCGAAAATCTGAAAAATCGGGAAATCGAAAGTCGAAAAATCATAAACTCAAAAATCGAAAAATGAAAAAATTGTAGAATTGAAACATTTGAAAAATCGAAAAATCGGGAAATGGGAGACGTCGGAACCTCGAATTTTTTTTTGCGTATATAACCAAAAAATTGAATAGTCAAAAAATCTAAAATTGGAAATTGAAAACCAAAAGTCTGAAAAATCGAAAAATTCAAAAATCGGAAAATTCAGATCACGAGACATCCAAACATGGAAAAATGGGACTAAACCAAAAAATCAAAAATTTAGAAACGCCGAAAATTAAAAAATTGGAAAATTGAAGAACCGACAATTAAAGAATGGAAAAATTGAAAAATCGTAGAACTGAAAGATCTGAAAATCGAGAAATTGAAACATCAAATTTAAAATTGAAAAATCTAAAATTTAAAAAATCGAAAAGTTGAAAAATCCTCAAACTAAAATATCGAAAAACTGAAAAATCGAAAACTTGATAAATCGATAAATCGAAAACAGTGAAAAATCCAATAAAAATTGAAAAATTGGAAAACTGAAAATCCCCAAACTGAAACATCGAACAATCGAAAATCTTATAAATCAAAAAGTCGAATAATCGAAAATTTAAGAAACCGAAAAATTCAAATATTGTACTAAAACACTGAAAAATCGAAAAATCGGGAGACGTCGAGACTTGGAAAACATTTTTGGGAATATCAAAAAATTGAAAAGTCAAGAAAGCAAAACTCTGACAAATCTAAAATTTAGAAACGCCAAAAATTAAAAATTCGAAAAATTGAAAATCGTAAAAAATTAGAATATTGAGAATTTGAAAATTTGAAAAACCAAACAATTGAAGAATCGAAAAATTGAAAAATCCTAGAACTGAAATACCCAAAAATTGAGAAATCGAAAAATTGTTATACAATTTTGATTTTTTTTTCCAAAAATCTCGGTGTCTAGGATAAGAGTTCAAGTGGAGGAGTACGTTATTTACATCATTTAGAAATCAAAGACTTGAAATATTAAAAATTAAAAAATCGAAAAATTTATTATTGTAAATGAGATGACGTGGGTGGGGATGTTCAGACAGATTTTGGTTGGGGTTTTAATATCGACACAATAGGAATATCACTAACCTACATACAAAATTTGACCACAATCGGTCGGTCTGGTAATTTCGGATATTCTGTATAACAAAAATCAACACACGGCGGACAGACAGATGGACGGACGGAAACGGGAGACCTTTTTTGTCGTACTGTAGAGGTCATCAAACGTCGAGAAAAATAAAAACAATCAGTCGTCCAATGGACTCGATTACAATACTTACTTAGCTTACGATTGGGAAGTAAAATTATATCATCTGAAAACATTGTAAACTAAATTTTACTTGAAACATGCATATGGCATGCGTTTTTACTTGTGAGTTGATAAATAATCAAAGCTTGTTTTTAAATTTTTATGTACGGATTAAAAAAAATGGCATAATCAGATTTGACGCAATAAGATCTTTGAAATATTGATAAAGCAGTAGTGGTGTTGATTTAAGAATCACACAACATTAGTTAAAATAGTTTCAAGAAATATGAAATGTTATGGAACATTAACTAAAATTTTCTTCATCTTTGCCAAAAAATTAATGACTCTTAAAAATGTTAAAAAAATGAGCTTCAGCGATGATTTTTCCTCTTTTTTTTAGAATTGACTACACAGGATATTTTTAAATTTTTTGCTCCATTTGCCCCATGTTTTACGTTTTCTAAAATCACAATCGATACAACTTGTACACAGATAGCAGTTTCTTGAATCAACCATGACACGAATCATTAAAGACGGACAACTCCGTTTACAATTCCACGTGACAGTTTTAAGACAAAGCCAACTACGTGTTTTGAAAATAATACCTTTTTCGTCCGAAACTAAACGAAATCTGACATTTTTGCCTCCCCTAGGAACTACCGCCTGAGGCAGTCGCCTCTCCCACCGCCTAAAGCCGGCCGGTGGATAATGATCTTCCGGGAGATCTCTTCAAGTAACTTCTGTTTTAAGAAGGTCGAGCTCTAGCAGGCCACCTTTAAAGTGGAGACTCTAAGACGTTGAAACACTTCAATTAACTAAAGCAACGATAGTAATGGTTGTGAATCGAATGAAGCATGCATGGAAATGGGGTGCAAAGGTTTTGTTGAAATTTCAGCTGATCGGGAAATTTAGTGCACTCGGATTCCAACTTCGGTGATAATATTGTGACCTTATTCGGCGGAACTTCGGCGCTACACTCATTCACAGATATGCTGGTAGTGTTTTATTGTGTTTGTGATGGTTTTCACACTTGAACTGTATGATAAAATCGTCGTGTATGCACAAAATTTACATTGTCACTTTGTACGAGATTTTTGAAAGGCACCGCTGTGTATACAGGTTCAGTCAATAATACTGAGTGTTTCGAAATATTTGCCGCTTCTTTTAAATAGTGATTCGATGTATAAACGTTTTGCGCAGTCGCA